AAATCTCATCACTCTAACAGTCCACACTCTACAGAACCGGAGACACCCAAGGTTATGTGCATAATCCCACGCTTGAATTAATTACTGGCAGTACTAAATGTATGTATGTATGTATATATATATATATATATATATTTTCCTTGTAACATAGGGAGGAGGAAAATATGTATGCATTTATGAGAATTGCATGATTCCCCGATCGATAAGAGTATTTTTAAGAGAGGGTATTCTGCTTCATTATACGGTCTCCCACGTAAGAATTTTGTTTACAATAGGCTTGACATCACAAGGAAGAAGACATTTATCCAAGTAGGTCGCCATGAGCAGGTTAAAGTGATAGAAAAGTGTTCTCGTCTTTCTCGCTTTATTGTTATTTTGTCACGTTTTTTACATTGTATGTCGTCTCAGGTAATTTTTGTGTGATTTTGTTATTTGTTTTCTTTCATTTTCTCTTAATTACGAATATTTTAAATTATTGCAATAAAAAAATGATTTGGTATTAGTTACTTTTAAGTAACTTTCACCAAGAATTCTTAATTGATAGGCTACTTACAATGGGAGAAGCTCAACTGTGACCTTGTTTTTCTTTCAAATTACGCTTGAAAATCCCACCTGTGAACAGAATTTAAAACATTGAACATTCCTCAATCATGTTTTAAATATTAATTTATTTAAATATTAAGATTATAAATTATAACACACACACAATTGGGGATTTTACACTAAAAATTAGAGAAATAATCATCTAACCCGAAGTTTATTATAATTAAAACGCTAAATAATTAATAAATTTAAATGTATTTTAAATTGAAACTGTATAAATATGATTTATTTACTTAATTAACGTTTAACATTCAATAAACTCCACCCACGTGGTCAGTTAGTAGTCGCCATTTTGTTTTTCTTTTCTTTCATTCCTAATCCGTTCCTATTATGGGACTAAATTAACATTATATTTTTTTTTTATTTGTAATGTAATTTTAAAAAATTGTTTATTAAAAATTATTTTAAAATTATAAATAAAATTTGAAATACAACATCATTCAAAATATGTATTTGTAAAACGTCATCATAAGACGTCACGTGTTAAGATTTATATTAAAAAATATATAAATATGTAATAAAATGTACTTTTTGTATTAAAAAATAATACAAATTTCATTCAAATTTAATTATTTAAGTCAAAATTCCAAAAATTTAAAGTTTATAATTCCGCCATTTTGCTTTTTTTTATTCCTTGAGTCCGTTCCTTTTGTAATCCTAACTTAAAACTTTTTTTCAATTTAACTAACATTAAAATTCTTTTAAAATAATAAATAATATTTCAAACACAATAAAATCCATTTTGGAATAAAAACTTCACAATTTAAATTTAAAAATTTTTAAAATTTAAAGTTTTAGTATTACGCCACCTGGTATTTTTTTTAATTTATTAGTAAGCCCGGTCCTATTATATATAAATATATAATTATATAAAATAAATTAATTGCATATTCATTTTAAAAATATTGAAAATTTAAAAAAAATTAATTATAAATTTAACTTTGTATTACATTTGAACATTTTTATGATGTGTGACATAGCACAACGTTCTGTTAGATTTTTTAAAATTTACGTGTGATGTCATTTGTTATTGGGAAAACAATGAGCGTTTCGTTCCGATGAATTTATATGGAATTTTTTAATATTTTTTTTTATATTAACAAATCATATAATTATCCGTTTGGATTATCATACAAAGGAGCTAGCCGTTGTTAATTAATTGTTAACTACACTTAGACTCTCCGACGACACACAAAAAACAGGAATAAGAACACAAAAAAAATTCCGCATTGTTTTTAATAGCTCTATTGTAATTTATCTGAAACATTCGCCAACGTTTCTTCCACGAAAAAAAGCAGAAGTTCTCAGTGTGAGGTCTACTTAATTTAATTTTAAAAATGGATTTTTATCAAATTGTTTCATAATATAGATGGCGTAGATTTTTTTTTCTTTGTGTTCGGAAACAAGTAAATAACCCGCTTGTGGCATTTGGAGTAATAAAGAGTGATAACAAAGCTGACAAAGGTCGACCTTTCTGAACGCATCTATCAAAAAGTAGGATCGGAAGGTTAACGAGTGTATACAGATTACCGGTTCTGTTAGAATGAGTCTCGAAAATTCGGGTTTTTAAAATGAAATTTAAGAAGAATTTTTCTGTGTTAGTAGAGTAAAGAAGTGTAAAATGGCATCTAAAATAGGTAGGGCTAAGATATTTACAAGGCCTCATCGACAAACAAAACGCCCTTTTGGATGGCTAGTGTACATACTTTTCGGGATATGTTTCTTAATTTGTCATCAACATGAAACTTTCGAATTCACGAATTGTAAACAACCTTTTTAACCTTGTGTTTTCTGAAGAAAATTTGGTTTCTACCCAAGAACTGGATGGATTCGGAAAGGTCATACGTAGACATCCTTTTTTTTTTTTTTTTTTTTTTTATTTAACTTAGGAATTCGGGGAAATTTTATACGTTCTATTATTAATGCTTTTATAGATATTACATATGTAAAATTCAAAATCTTAAGTAAATTTTATCACTTTAGTTCTAGAAATCGCAAGAAAAAAGTATACCAACTTTATATATTTCAAATTCTAGATAAATATTACGGTATATTAAAAAAAGAATAAAATAAATATATAAATGTAAGTTTACTTATATTGAAAATAAATTGAATTTTACTTACTTTTTAGGTGCTACAACAGCATGTTTAACAAATATTGGAATTGGAATAAAAATACTTTCAACCTCTCTTACATACAAGAAAACTCCTATCGAAACTATGAAAAATACTGATGAAATCTTCATTTTATCTTTGAAGAATTTTCCAAAAAATCTATTAAAAAAATTTAAATTTATTTGTTTTGTGTTGATATTAAAGCGTCAATTATTAATACTGAAATATGAATATACAAAAGTAATACTTACCTCAAAGTTGTGAAGAGATGTCTAGGAGTAGTTGTTTATGGAGATGGAAAGTCTTCTCTCCCTCTTTATATACCTTTGTCCTAGTTATTGAACAGCAAATTAAAGGTGGCAGAAAAATTCTTTGACCTCATCATTCGTCTCTTACAAGATAAGTAACAATTTCAAGGTGGTTAATGCGACCTCCATGCCTTTTCTAGCATAAGGAAAAGAATCACATTAAGTTTTTAAATTATTTTTGAACAGGTACAATATAAAATTATACGCAGTTTATATTTCATTTTTTTTTAGGATATGACAATTAAGGACAAATAATTTCGATACCACTATAGAGATATTGATCTTAAAACTGATAATTTGTTTAGAAAATGTATCTGTAACAAATAAAATAGATATTTTAATTCCATTGATGCTTTAATTCTGATTCATTCTTTAATCGTTTCTATAATATGAAACTACGAGATCAAAACTACATATTTCTTAGTCGATAATAGAAATTATGACGTGAAATTGGTTTAAAAATTAAGATAAAATTAATCATATTATTTTATATTGATTTATTTGTTAAATCGTGTTTTCATTAGAAGTAGCCTTGACTCTTGATATATAAATCTAATGGGAGAATCAACTATTTAAAATTGCTTCTGTCATGTAGCCAAGTTCGACCGAAATTATTTCCTTCCATTTTTTTTTCTTTCTTTTTTTTTTTTACATAAATCGATAGAAATCTTAAAAAGTAATAATAAAATCTATACATTTTAAAGCTGATTTTCAGGAAACATTGCCAAAGAATCTATCAATGCTAAGTACTTGTAAGTTTTTTATTATTTTTTCTTTCCGGAAAATGTTGTTTTTAACAAAAGAGAAATTTAGGTCACATTTAGAAATTTTCAACTATTAATTGTTATCTACATCTTTTATAATTATTGTTAATTTTTGTACACGATTTATAGGTTATATAGATTTGCTATTGTGTAGAATGCTTAAAGGAAACGTGGGGATATCTCTTTAAAAATTCATCAAAATTAATGTTTCATTTATTGATAAACACACTTTCACTATTTTTCTATAAACAAGGTTCAATGACCGAATTACAAATATCTGAATATTGCGACAGAAAAGAATTAGGACACTTTGGGCAATCCAGTTACTATATTAAATATTCTTTATGTCTTCTTATTTTATTTTGCATGTTTTTTGCATTAATTATAATAGGCCTATATGGTCACTTCATACTTGACACGATAACTTATTTACTTACGGATTAATTCAAGAATTATTCTCTATAAATGCTAGAAAAATTAAGAAATTAAAGAAAAATATTCTTTTATATATTTATTACATATAGTAATAATTGTTTTAAATATTTAAATTATTTATTTATATTAAATTCATTATTATATACAAAATATCATTCTTTGTTAATGTAGGTTTATTTCTTTACTTGTTTACTGAAACTCGACACGTGGGAGATTTGCCGAGAGGGATGCCTCCCGGGAGGACTTTTTATGGGATACTGGCCCCTATTTAGGTATTACAAAGGAGAAGATAATCCGGTAAACTCTACATGACACGCGACTTAGTTTAATATAAACTAATGTTAAATTATGTATTAATTATAGAAGAATTTTTTGTGTGGTCTCTTCCGGATATGTAGGGCCCCGTCTCTCACAATCCTACCACCCAATGTGGGTTTGGCCTATGATAGGCCTGAAAAAGGCCTTCCTAGTGTCCAGATTTGATTTTAAAACGTAAAATTGTATAAAATTCATTCTAAAATTCATTTTATAATGAATTTTAAATAATTTTAAACACTTATTTAGTATTATAAACGACGTGTAATTAAATAGAATGAAGGAAGAGAATTTTCAAATTAATACGAATTAAAACAGGTCAGAAGAAACTAAATTAGTAACAAGGAAAATTTTCTCTTCATATATACAGGTGCAGAGTTTCTTTTGTACCTGCAAAGCTGAACAAATTTTTGTTGCACGTAATTCCGCTTTTTGTGTAAAGTATAAAAAGATAGAGAAGGTGACTATCAACGAAGTAACCAGAGACATCATGAAGTATCAAATTATTGTCTTACTTTTAGCTGCGATGCTGCTGTTCGTATCTTGTGAAGGAGATGAACAAGGTTAGTTAATTAATTAAGTAGTTTACGAAAGTTCTGAGCAATATTAAAATATCATTACCTCAAATGGAAGTGATGGTGTGAGCCAGGTTTTCGGCTATGTCCTGCGGTTCGAATCTCAGATGAAATAATCGGTTTTATTAATATCTAAATAATTTTTTTTTGGTTAAACCTGAAAATTAAATTGTTTATTACTCAACAGAAACAGAACAAGGATCAGAAGGTGAAGGTGAAGGTGAAGCTGAAGAGAGTGGAAAGGGAAAAGGAAGTAAATGCAATCATAAAAAAGGAAAGAAGGGAGATAGTTAAGAAAAGTAACCTATCCGATTGAATAACTGATGTTAAAGTTAATTTAATTTTCTTTTCTTTAATTCTCCATAATCTATTACTTTAAAATAAATATCCGACAATTTAAAAGCCAATCATATATGGAATTCACGAGAAAAACTTTATTTAGGTTATATTTATGTCATATTTGTGACATATGCAATGTAATTTTACGTATGCTCAATAAATGCTGTTAATTATATATGAGAGAAGGAAGGATTTTTCATGATTGTTGACTTTTAGTCATTACCCATTAGAAAAATCCAGCAATGAATTGTTTAAAACGAACAAAATTTTTTTCTAAATGAACTAAATTCTCACGAATTTCATGTCGGTTCGGACCTATCTGGAACCTCACATTTCATATAGAAATTGTTTGTACAATGTGTGAGATCCTTAAGGAAGAAACTGAAGGAAGCTCAGCAAATAATCATGATATTTTACTGCTGCATTTTTTTCGGTTTTTTAGATGCTTGTTCTACATAAAGACGTCTTCCTTTCTAAATCATTCTATCTTGAAAATACCGAAACTTATACCAAGAAGGCCGTTTTTAATTTAGAATTGCTTCATTTTAAACCAGAAAAAGAGTTGTTTTCTGCGTTCGTGTTACGAATTGTCGTATTATTTGCCACTTTGCTGTAGTAACTATACAAGTTTTTTCTATTTTTGATAACAGTAAATGGATTCTACTTTCTACTCGTGGCACCAATCTGGATGAAAGACCAGAATACTAGTAAACTCGAGTTTCAGTATACCACCAAAATCTAAGTCATATTAGAGAAATTAATTTCAGCAGAAATCAGTTTTAACAGCATCAATTTCCCTAATAAAGAAATCTTTCTGCAAAGTTTCAGAAATTAAGCTACAAACAGGGTGAACAAATCGTGCCACTTACACACACATATTAACATACAGAAATTACCCCCTCCCCAATTCTTTTACATTTTTCAACGTTTCAAGGTGTCCTAGCTGGTGTTCAAGGACACCTTGTCATTTTTTGCCGGATTGTCATACTTTCCTTCTGTTATAACAGCCAGGAAACTAAAACACGTGAACATAAAACGAATGCAATAATATACAATCAGAAGAATTGTAAAACATATCAGTTTATATCGAATATTTAATAAAATTATATTTTCCTCAACATAAACAGTATTTATAACATTAAAAGATACCTTGTTATTATTAAGTGCAAGAAGCCGAATTTTAGGTGCAATCAGTTAATTGCGCGTCAGAGAAAGCCTAGGGACTGATCGTATGCGGATGATGATGCTGGAGGCAAAGATGACAAATGTCTAACGTAAACCGTTTATTTTAACGTAAAACAACTTACATAGTATTAAAATACAGTTCGTTCTAGAATTACAGGTGTTGTGGGAGGTTCTGGACGTCCAACGTAGAGCAGTGATACGTTGTTTGAAGTAGCCCCGGGGCATTAGCGGTTACACGTCCGGGGTGATTTCGGTGGTTGATGTAAGAGAATGAACTGAGTTCCTGTCACGGGTCGCTGTTGAACATACACTTGGCTAGAGAACTCCTCCCAACCTTGAGATTCGTGGTTTTTATAGGGATTTTTCGAGGCTCATCTTTTTCACTGGTCCTGTATTCACTTCCTCGCTTTCCGATTGGTCTCTCTTTTGTTTCTAGATAAAACCAAGACTTGATCGGGTTACAAGAAAGTGCATCTGTCTGATACCTTTTTATCGACTCTGATTGGATGTTCTTGATGGATCCATAAGCCGTGCGCTCATAATTCAGCCATTGTTTCTATTTTCTATCAGTTTTTGGATTTTAATAATTGCACGTGATGTTTTCTTAACCGTTCAATCTTTCCCATTTTTTGACTTTTTAACTTAGATCAGTAGCGTAGCTACAAATTCAGATCCCTGGAGCAAGTAGAGTCCGAAGAATTAGGGAGCGGGTCGCTCCCTAATTCTTCGGAAAAGGTCTCGCGAACTTTGTTTTGAACATTTAATTTAAAAAAATATATCTAATTATTTCGATTTAAAACTTTACTCAATAATAATTTATTTGAGATTTAAGACATTTCAGTAATAAGATATTCAATTTAATAAATGCAAATATAATAATAAAACAAAATATAATTCTTTAAGTACGGAATACCTAATAATAATAACCACCGTGCCTGAAACAGCAGCAGGTACAGTACATCATTGCACGGGATGAGGAGGAAGGGATTCGATACATTGTCTATGTATACTTTTTCGATGATATTGAGGCATACAAAGTTGTTCATTAAATTATTTTACTAACAATTTGCATAACTTTTTAAAGTCATTTTTTCAATGTCTGGAGGGTCAGTGAACTATTCTACAAGTAATTAACCAAACCTCTTTGCAATTGCATAGTGTGGATCCGTAGTAGTTCCTTAACTGTATTAAACAATCCGCTCACCTAAATAAAGTTACAACTTGCCTTTCTGCAACATTTATTATAAATAGAAGTTTTAAATTGGAATTGTAAGCTCTTATTATAAACTAAAATAGATCCAATTCTCCGAAAAATTCGACATAAATTCTCAGACAATAAAATGTTAATTATAGAATGGGTCTTCGAAAATTTTAGTCACGTTATAAATCATGTTTTCCTATCTACACGAGTCTCGTTTGTCTCTAAATTATGGCGTGACAGTAAGTGTTAATATCTGTCTTTCTATCTCTAAACAGAATCAGTATCGAAGGGCGACTAGTCACCTCATTTAGGCGGAATTTAACCTCACATACTTTCAATAATGTGGCACTCCCTAATCTCTGCTAAAAATAGCGGGATAGCCATGACAGTAGTGTGTATCTCTCAAACAGAAAAGCATCGCAAATTAATGTTACAAATTTTAATATTGTTTACAGCGTAACCAGTTTTATACAAGCCTGCAGCTGTATCTACCAGTTTAAATTATTGTAATATTTCCTCTTATTAGCAATACTTTGAAAAAAAAAATACTGTTTGGCAAAAAATTAATTATTTATTAAAATATGAAGGTCTTCATACAATTATTGTATGTTGAATTCCTTCAATAAATACAACCAATTGGGTGAAAATAACAAGTGAAACGTATTCAACAGAAAAACATTGCTTGAATCTAATTGGTTAGTTCTGGGAATTATATTTAAAATTACAAAATTGATTTTTAATTAATTGGAAATATATNAATGTTTTATTGAGAATTTTTAGATACATTGAAAATAAAAATTTCTTTCTTGAATTATCGTAAACTTTTCGGTAGATTTGGTGCTTCAATCGGTAGATCTACGGAAAATTCGCTAGACGTGGCAACATTGCATCAAACGAAAACCAAGGTTTTGGTTTTGGTTGGTTAGTTTCGTTAGTCCTGTAACAATTTTGCTCACTTTTTAGCCATTTCTACTAAGCAAAACTCCAGGTTAATAAAAATAAGCTCATTTTTTTTCAACGATAGAGCTATATTGTTATTGTATTTTATTCTTGTCGGATAACTCGATTTATAGGAGTTTGTTGTGATTTTATAAGACAGATTTAATACCAATATTTTAAAGATTAATGCTGAGCTCGTATTTTCTCGATTATAATGCACACTTTCTTTTTTCCGACTTAATTAATTCAACTTAGTTGTTTTCGTTCGCTCCTCATTTACGTGTATTACGTCATCAATATACAAGCGCGTCGTATCTCTACATCAAACGAAAGCCAAAGTTTTGGCTTTCGTTTGATGTAGAGTTTAATCTTATTTTAACTATAAAAAAAATATTAAAAATATTTAAAAATACAGTATTTTCTTAAGTNGTTTTTAATTATTAATGTTATGAACAATATCCTCGTGCGCTCGTGTTTCTCACATACCATGGATCTAAAACTTAACATAAAGAAATAAAAATTTTATTTAACTGGCTATTGCCGTTACATTAGAAGTGAAACTTCCAAATACTTATAAGGTAAACACTTAATTTTTCAAAGGCCCATTTTTCTGAAACGCTTGAGAGGTGAGTCTTATCATTACGACAGGAAGCAGTTTCTGTTTACTGACGAGTTTCGTTCGAATAGGAAACTTCAACGAAACTTGGTGATCAGGTCTGGCATTTTCTGTGTAATAAGGCCTTTTTAATTGTGTCGGTTAGACCACAATGGAAAGGCAGAGGATTAGAGGCAGGACCCGACATTTCCTTGACAGATTGCTGATAAAATCGAGGTACCTCTGAATAAACTAGATAAACAATTCACACAACATAACAATAACAATGCTCGTGGCGGTGTAGCAATTTGTTGTTCATATAAATTCATTTTTCTAAGTATATATCTGGATTAAATAAATTTATATTGTGTTGTGACTTTTTATATTCAAATTATGGTAATACGATTTATCAAATTTTTAACAGCGAGTAACCTGTTTAGTTTCATCGAAAAGGGGCACTGAGTTTTTGTTTTTTTTTTACAGGAAAGTGTAATCTTTAAACACTCGCAAACTTATTAAAAACGACGCATTGACAATTATTAAAAACTTATTAAATTTTCCGGGTGTCGTGGAGTAAAATTGGTCTGACGTATTTCTTTCTGTAAATGTTTTAACGTGAATGAACTGAATACAGATTTAGAAAACTTAATTTTTTTCAGATTTATTAGAAAATTTGATATTTTGTCAGGCCAAATACTGCAGGGACTGGTATCTAATCTGCAGCACCATTAAAAGGTTAACGAACTTCCGCTCTAAACTATATAATACTAGTAAGCTTAAATTACATTTCTATTTATTCGATTACTTTATTTTTATAAGAAGCGAATAGATCTTTAAAAAACCTTGTAGAAATCGTTATAATATTAAATATCGTTAGGTGTAGCTTTAACGAGAATTGGATTACCTCCAGAATTCTCAATGTCAGCTGGTAGTTTTTGCAACTGCTCTGACTGACCTTCGTTGATGGTGTTTTTTTAAAATTTAGTTTATTTAACTTGACGAACAAGTAAGTTTAATTAAGTAATAAACAATCTTACGTGTTAACACGTGAAATGACTATTAATCTCTACATTAAATAAAAATTAAATTTGTTTAATTTTCTAATGTAAGACAACTGTAATAAAAATTATTGCACGTCATTTATATTATTCAAAACAAAAGATGTATTATTAGAAACATATCTTAGTTATGGGGCATTAATAATTAAACATTAAATTAATTGATTTACGGAATAAAATGGATCATTATAATTCTAACACGAAAAAAAAAAACATAATGACCTTCTGTTATTATCTTCTTTTCATTTTAACTTGTTATCTTATACTGTAAATGCATTAAAACTATCTTCTTTCCGAATTAATGGAGGTAATTACATAAAACAAAACCTTTAACTACAAGTAACGAATATTTCAAATATATCTTTAAGGGGACACGAAAACTCCGAACGTTTTCGTTCTGCACCAAGGCCTGAGCAAGTTTTTTAAAACGAATTCCAAATTAGAACGATGGAACGATAATATTCGAAAAAACAATTTTAAACTTCGAATAACACGTGACGTAAATAAAATTCAAACGGTAGAAGACTAAAACTCGTAAATGTATGAACGTGTCATACATATAAATTTTTAAGATGTGCAGAGTGAATTAATATAGGCTAAGTTTGCTCAGATTTTTCATAAAGATATCTCCACGCAAGCGATATTTTTATTGCAGTCTTTAAACTTAATACACTTGCCGGTTGGGGATTACTTTGGTGTTATGGGCCGTGACGACCTTCTGCTAACCTGTTTTGCATATTTCTTATTTTCGTATTTTTCCGGAGGGCGGTAGTGTCGCTCAGTATTAAAGGAGCGTTGGAGTTAGCTATCGTGGTGGTAAGGGGCTAGATAACCCATGTATGCTTATCCGCTATGTTGGTCTTTAGAAAGCAGACTACTATCATAAAAGTTCAATAGAAGAGACATGAAAATAATGTAAAGAAAGATGTAAAGAAAACATTTATTTATAAATTCATCATCTGGATGATACAGTAATTCAATTTGAATTTCTGCATAGGTAGCATCTGCTGTCTTCACATTCACAATATCATATACTTTCGTGCTAACTACCCCATATGATGGATATTCCAAAAGAAGGCTATCTTGTCCTGGTTTAGTTAGATCATCTACATCTCCTGTCATTTCTGCTTGGCACTGTTTATTTTATCAAAGAGTGGACACAACTAAAGTTGAAAATTCAAGTTTTTTTTTGTTTCAACAATTGCAGTTTTTTTCTCTTGTCTCCATATGCGCTGTTGTGCCTTTTATGTTCATCAGTTGTAAAAGTGTATTTTGCTGCATCGATAAAATTTACCAAAGAAAACAAAAATACATTATTTACTATTCTATGCTATGCTGAATACGGGATGCTACACTAGCAAGCTGCCATCTTGGACTACGACGTCAAAAGGACCAATGTGGTTGTACACATGCCGGAAGTATATGAACATACCTGGGTAATCTAGCGCCTTACGTGGGGGAAATTTGATGTTTGTTTGGCTGTGACGACTTTTCACGTGCGTGCGTGAAGTGTATAATTATTCGAAGTCATCAAAAAATTACAATTGCATATAATGTTCACGTGTCATTAAACAGAACATTCAAATAACTGTAATTTATATTAATTAAAAAAAGCAAGCAACGAGTTGCTCAACTTTTCCGGCAACATTTAAAATTTTGGTGNATAGCCCATTTCTTGCTGGTTCATAAATGTTACTTCCAGTGCTGAAAATTCTTTTACTTTTAATGGAAGATGCTAGGGCACTTAGATATTTCATAGCTATTTTGTTGAAATTAGGAAAATGTTTTGAACTTCTCAACCACAAAAATGGGTCACTATGTCTTTGTATAAGAGGTAAAGGTAAATATTTTTCTAATTCTTGATCGAAACGTTTGTTCGTTTGTTTCATTTTTTCTTTCTTTTTAAAAACATATTCTTCTTTATTCTTTCGTTTAGCAGGTGCTAATTCATCAAATAAATTTAAAAAAAAACTTAGAGATTCTCCTCTATCTTGATCATTTCCAGAAGTAGAAGCTTCAGAATTTAATTCTTCTTGAGATTTTGAATTATCAACATCTAAGCTATCAATTATCCATCTTTTTATTTTCTCTACAATATATATATTTTTGAAATTTCATTTTGAATCTTGGATGTAATAAAGATGACAAGCATAAACACTTGTTGTCTATATGCTGGATTTTTTTAGTCCTTCCATTGTGGTATTAATGCTATTATAGGAACTATTGCTCTTTTCTTTTGATAAGAATAATTTCAGAGTCTCTATTATGGGAATTATTGAAGATGAGGTGGTTTCTCGGTTGCTGGTTTCCACAGTAATTTCTTCGAATAGTTTCAAAAGTGGAACAATTTTTTTAACCAAAAGCCACTGATATGTGTTCAACGTAGGAATCTTATTATCTATAGCATATACAAGGATTTTTTGCTATTCCAAGTTTCTTTGCGACATTTAAAATAATCAAAACTTTCATTTGAATTTCAATATATTAATCATTTTAGAACAAAATGTATCTTGAAGCATTTTCATGTAGTATTTATTCTTTTGCAATAATATTATTACATCATTAGACGACATTCTGCAAGACATTTTTTAAAGATGAATCCCACGTAAAATATTGAATACAGGAATATACAAAAGGTCTATAATTAGTTCGCTTACTGTTATTTTCTTTCAAGTGCTTTCTGCGGTGTTCTCAGATTCAGAAGATAGGAGAATACCGAATAAAGAGAACTTGCCATCTGAAATAATGATTAATTATATAAACTTTTCAAATAAAATATCACAACAAAAGTGCCACACGTAATTTTGAATATTGTGATCGGGTAAGGTATGCAACTCGTTACTGGTTTTTTAACGCTTCTGTCAAGTTACTAAGGTAAGTATATTTTGCCCAACTAAACTCTAATATAATGAATGTTTGCACTTTAAGATTTTGCATTAAACATTCGTTTTACAGAATTATTTGCTTCTTTTTTTAAAATGATTTTTGTGGGACCACAGACTTTCATTATAGGATATCGTTTATTTTCAATACGTTTAAGTATGTATTTGAATCGCTTTCGAAATCCTCTATTCACGTTTACACTTATACGCGCAATGAATCAAGTAGGCGCTCAGCTAATGAAGAGCAAACGTTTAGCATAGCGTGTGAGATCGGGTACTACGCATTAAATAATGTATACACAAGAAAAACACATCTTACATGATAATAATGACGAACTGATCTTTCACATCAAGCGCAATATCACGGTCATATCTTTTAAGTGATTTCCAAAATACAGTCGACTCCCCTATAAGATCATAGATACGTTCCATTCTTTAGGAATCTGATTTCTTCTGATTCCTTCCAATCACAGCCCGACACGTGTGAAGTTTACGGACTACGGCTGATTGAAAGGTTTTCTTCCATAAAATTAATCGATTCTAGACTAATATAATTTTAAATAAATTATATTAATTTATTTAAAATTTATTTTGTTACAGGAAATTAAAAACAAATCTACTCCCCTTACCATTCAATTTCTCTATAAAATAACAATCCTTACAATCGTTTGGGCGTTTATTTAATCAGCTTTTCATAAATTCCTTTTTCAGAAAACAAAATATTTCTATAAATTGAAAAGAAAATATCAGATTTGAATTTATATATAATGAATTTTAAATAATTTTAAACACTTATTTAGTATTATAAACGACGTGTAATTAAATAGAATGAAGGAAGAGAATTTTCAAATTAATACGAATTAAAACAGGTCAGAAGAAACTAAATTAGTAACAAGGAAAATTTTCTCTTCATATATACAGGTGCAGAGTTTCTTTTGTACCTGCAAAGCTGAACAAATTTTTGTTGCACGTAATTCCGCTTTTTGTGTAAAGTATAAAAAGATAGAGAAGGTGACTATCAACGAAGTAACCAGAGACATCATGAAGTATCAAATTATTGTCTTACTTTTAGCTGCGATGCTGCTGTTCGTATCTTGTGAAGGAGATGAACAAGGTTAGTTAATTAATTAAGTAGTTTACGAAAGTTCTGAGCAATATTAAAATATCATTACCTCAAATGGAAGTGATGGTGTGAGCCAGGTTTTCGGCTATGTCCTGCGGTTCGAATCTCAGATGAAATAATCGGTTTTATTAATATCTAAATAATTTTTTTTTGGTTAAACCTGAAAATTAAATTGTTTATTACTCAACAGAAACAGAACAAGGATCAGAAGGTGAAGGTGAAGGTGAAGCTGAAGAGAGTGGAAAGGGAAAAGGAAGTAAATGCAATCATAAAAAAGGAAAGAAGGGAGATAGTTAAGAAAAGTAACCTATCCGATTGAATAACTGATGTTAAAGTTAATTTAATTTTCTTTTCTTTAATTCTCCATAATCTATTACTTTAAAATAAGTATCCGACAATTTAAAAGCTAATCAATCATATATGGAATTCACGAGAAAATCTTTATTTAGGTTATATTTATGTCATATTTGTGACATATGCAATGTAATTTTACGTATGCTCAATAAATGCTGTTAATTATATATGAGAGAAGGAAGGATTTTTCATGATTGTTGACTTTTAGTCATTACCCATTAGAAAAATCCAGCAATGAATTGTTTAAAACGAACAAAATTTTTTTCTAAATGAACTAAATTCTCACGAATTTCATGTCGGTTCGGACCTATCTGGAACCTCACATTTCATATAGAAATTGTTTGTACAATGTGTGAGATCCTTAAGGAAGAAACTGAAGGAAGCTCAGCAAATAATCATGATATTTTACTGCTGCATTTTTTTCGGTTTTTTAGATGCTTGTTCTACATAAAGACGTCTTCCTTTCTAAATCATTCTATCTTGAAAATACCGAAACTTATACCAAGAAGGCCGTTTTTAATTTAGAATTGCTTCATTTTAAACCAGAAAAAGAGTTGTTTTCTGCGTTCGTGTTACGAATTGTCGTATTATTTGCCACTTTGCTGTAGTAACTATACAAGTTCTTTCTATTTTTGATAAAAGTAAATGGATTCTACTTTCTACTCGTGGCACCAATCTGGATGAAAGACCAGAATACTAGTAAACTCGAGTTTCAGTATACCACCAAAATCTAAGTCATATTAGAGAAATTAATTTCAGCAGAAATCAGTTTTAACAGCATCAATTTCCCTAATAAAGAAATCTTTCTGCAAAGTTTCAGAAATTAAGCTACAAACAGGGTGAACAAATCGTGCCACTTACACACACATATTAACATACAGAAATTACCCACTCCCCAATTCTTTTACATTTTTCAACGTTTCAAGGTGTCCTAGCTGGTGTTCAAGGACACCTTGTCATTTTTTGCCGGATTGTCATACTTTCCTTCTGTTATAACAGCCAGGAAACTAAAACACGTGAACATAAAACGAATGCAATAATATACAATCAGAAGAATTGTAAAACATATCAGTTTATATCGAATATTTAATAAAATTATATTTTCCTCAACATAAACAGTATTTATAACATTAAAAGATACCTTGTTATTATTAAGTGCAAGAAGCCGAATTTTAGGTGCAATCAGTTAATTGCGCGTCAGAGAAAGCCTAGGGACTGATCGTATGCGGATGATGATGCTGGAGGCAAAGATGACAAATGTCTAACGTAAACCGTTTATTTTAACGTAAAACAACTTACATATATTAAAATACAGTTCGTTCTAGAACTACAGGTGTTGTGGGAGGTTCCGGACGTCCGACGTAGAGCAGTGATACGTTGTTTGAAGTAGCCCCGGGGCATTAGCGGTTACACGTCCGGGGTGATTTCGGTGGTTGATGTAAGAGAATGAACTGAGTTCCTGTCACGGGTCGCTGTTGAACATACACTTGGCTAGAGAACTCCTCCCAACCTTGAGATTCGTGGTTTTTATAGGGATTTTTCGAGGCTCATCTTTTTCACTGGTCCTGTATTCACTTCCTCGCTTTCCGATTGGTCTCTCTTTTGTTTCTAGATAAAACCAAGACTTGATCGGGTTACAAGAAAGTGCATCTGTCTGATACCTTTTTATCGACTCTGATTGGATGTTCTTGATGGATCCATAAGCCGTGCGCTCATAATTCAGCCATTGTTTCTATTTTCTATCAGTTTTTGGATTTTAATAATTGCACGTGATGTTTTCTTAACCGTTCAATCTTTCCCATTTTTTGACTTTTTAACTTAGATCAGTAGCGTAGCTACAAATTCAGATCCCTGGAGCAAGTAGAGTCCGAAGAATTAGGGAGCGGGTCGCTCCCTAATTCTTCGGAAAAGGTCTCGCGAACTTTGTTTTGAACATTTAATTTAAAAAAATATATCTAATTATTTCGATTTAAAACTTTACTCAATAATAATTTATTTGAGATTTAAGACATTTCAGTAATAAGATATTCAATTTAATAAATGCAAATATAATAATAAAACAAAATATAATTCTTTAAGTACGGAATACCTAATAATAATAACCACCGTGCCTGAAACAGCAGCAGGTACAGTACATCATTGCACGGGATGAGGAGGAAGGGATTCGATACATTGTCTATGTATACTTTTTCGATGATATTGAGGCATACAAAGTTGTTCATTAAATTATTTTACTAACAATTTGCATAACTTTTTAAAGTCATTTTTTCAATGTCTGGAGGGTCAGTGAACTATTCTACAAGTAATTAACCAAACCTCTTTGCAATTGCATAGTGTGGATCCGTAGTAGTTCCTTAACTGTATTAAACAATCCGCTCACCTAAATAAAGTTACAACTTGCCTTTCTGCAACATTTATTATAAATAGAAGTTTTAAATTGGAATTGTAAGCTCTTATTATAAACTAAAATAGATCCAATTCTCCGAAAAATTCGACATAAATTCTCAGACAATAAAATGTTAATTATAGAATGGGTCTTCGAAAATCTTAGTCACGTTATAAATCATGTTTTCCTATCTACACGAGTCTCGTTTGTCTCTAAATTATGGCGTGACAGTAAGTGTTAATATCTGTCTTTCTATCTCTAAACAGAATCAGTATCGAAGGGCGACTAGTCACCTCATTTAGGCGGAATTTAACCTCACATACTTTCAATAATGTGGCACTCCCTAATCTCTGCTAAAAATAGCGGGATAGCCATGACAGTAGTGTGTATCTCTCAAACAGAAAAGCATCGCAAATTAATGTTACAAATTTTAATATTGTTTACAGCGTAACCAGTTTTATACAAGCCTGCAGCTGTATCTACCAGTTTAAATTATTGTAATATTTCCTCTTATTAGCAATACTTTGAAAAAAAAAATACTGTTTGGCAAAAAATTAATTATTTATTAAAATATGAAGGTCTTCATACAATTATTGTATGTTGAATTCCTTCAATAAATACAACCAATTGGGTGAAAATAACAAGTGAAACGTATTCAACAGAAAAACATTGCTTGAATCTAATTGGTTAGTTCTGGGAATTATATTTAAAATTACAAAATTGATTTTTAATTAATTGGAAATATATGATTATTAACGAATGCAATTTATGAAAAGGTAAGAAAATTCGAATTATATAATTAATTTTTTAAATTTACTCTATTTTAATTACTAAGAATTTTTGTGATTTGCAATTAATACAGAGGTTGCGGCCGAAGTTTTCATCTCTCAAACGTGAACGTCGAACGTCGAGCGCCTCTATCTTGTAAGCGGTGTTCGACGTTCGACGTTCACGTTTGAAAGATGAAAACTTCGGCCGCAATATCTTTAGGTGTTTTTCATTAACTGAGAATTTAATTATACAGATTTATTCGATTGATTGGTTAACTTTTTATTGGTGCAAAGAGCCATTTTTTTTATAGCTGTTGCGCCAATAAACACTATTAAATGAAAATAAATTATTAATATATGTATATATATTAATCTATCAGCAGTAACATATCCTATATATATATATATATATATACACGTTACTGCTGATAGAGGAGAAAAGATAAGTTTGATATGAAAATAGGGTAGAATAGTCGCAAGGTGTTTTTAATTATTAATGTTATGAACAATATCCTCGTGCGCTCGTGTTTCTCACATACCATGGATCTAAAACTTAACATAAAGAAATAAAAATTTTATTTAACTGGCTATTGCCGTTACATTAGAAGTGAAACTTCCAAATACTTATAAGGTAAACACTTAATTTTTCAAAGGCCCATTTTTCTGAAACGCTTGAGAGGTGAGTCTTATCATTACGACAGGAAGCAGTTTCTGTTTACTGACGAGTTTCGTTCGAATAGGAAACTTCAACGAAACTTGGTGATCAGGTCTGGCATTTTCTGTGTAATAAGGCCTTTTTAATTGTGTCGGTTAGACCACAATGGAAAGGCAGAGGATTAGAGGCAGGACCCGACATTTCCTTGACAGATTGCTGATAAAATCGAGGTACCTCTGAATAAACTAGATAAACAATTCACACAACATAACAATAACAATGCTCGTGGCGGTGTAGCAATTTGTTGTTCATATAAATTCATTTTTCTAAGTATATATCTGGATTAAATAAATTTATATTGTGTTGTGACTTTTTATATTCAAATTATGGTAATACGATTTATCAAATTTTTAACAGCGAGTAACCTGTTTAGTTTCATCGAAAAGGGGCACTGAGTTTTTGTTTTTTTTTTACAGGAAAGTGTAATCTTTAAACACTCGCAAACTTATTAAAAACGACGCATTGACAATTATTAAAAACTTATTAAATTTTCCGGGTGTCGTGGAGTAAAATTGGTCTGACGTATTTCTTTCTGTAAATGTTTTAACGTGAATGAACTGAATACAGATTTAGAAAACTTAATTTTTTTCAGATTTATTAGAAAATTTGATATTTTGTCAGGCCAAATACTGCAGGGACTGGTATCTAATCTGCAGCACCATTAAAAGGTTAACGAACTTCCGCTCTAAACTATATAATAGCAGTAAGCTTAAATTACATTTCTATTTATTCGATTACTTTATTTTTATAAGAAGCGAATAGATCTTTAAAAAACCTTGTAGAAATCGTTATAATATTAAATATCGTTAGGTGTAGCTTTAACGAGAATTGGATTACCTCCAGAATTCTCAATGTCAGCTGGTAGTTTTTGCAACTGCTCTGACTGACCTTCGTTGATGGTGTTTTTTTAAAATTTAGTTTATTTAACTTGACGAACAAGTAAGTTTAATTAAGTAATAAACAATCTTACGTGTTAACACGTGAAATGACTATTAATCTCTACATTAAATAAAAATTAAATTTGTTTAATTTTCTAATGTAAGACAACTGTAATAAAAATTATTGCACGTCATTTATATTATTCAAAACAAAAGATGTATTATTAGAAACATATCTTAGTTATGGGGCATTAATAATTAAACATTAAATTAATTGATTTACGGAATAAAATGGATCATTATAATTCTAACACGAAAAAAAAAACATAATGACCTTCTGTTATTATCTTCTTTTCATTTTAACTTGTTATCTTATACTGTAAATGCATTAAAACTATCTTCTTTCCGAATTAATGGAGGTAATTACATAAAACAAAACCTTTAACTACAAGTAACGAATATTTCAAATATATCTTTAAGGGGACACGAAAACTCCGAACGTTTTCGTTCTGCACCAAGGCCTGAGCAAGTTTTTTAAAACGAATTCCAAATTAGAACGATGGAACGATAATATTCGAAAAAACAATTTTAAACTTCGAATAACACATGACGTAAATAAAATTCAAACGGTAGAAGACTAAAACTCGTAAATGTATGAACGTGTCATACATATAAATTTTTAAGATGTGCAGAGTGAATTAATATAGGCTAAGTTTGCTCAGATTTTTCATAAAGATATCTCCACGCAAGCGATATTTTTATTGCAGTCTTTAAACTTAATACACTTGCCGGTTGGGGATTACTTTGGTGTTATGGGCCGTGACGACCTTCTGCTAACCTGTTTTGCATATTTCTTATTTTCGTATTTTTCCGGAGGGCGGTAGTGTCGCTCAGTATTAAAGGAGCGTTGGAGTCAGCTATCGTGGTGGTAAGGGGCTAGATAACCCAGGTATGCTTATCCGCTATGTTGGTCTTTAGAAAGCAGACTACTATCATAAAAGTTCAATAGAAGAGACATGAAAATAATGTAAAGAAAGATGTAAAGAAAACATTTATTTATAAATTCATCATCTGGATGATACAGTAATTCAATTTGAATTTCTGCATAGGTAGCATCTGCTGTCTTCACATTCACAATATCATATACTTTCGTGCTAACTACCCCATATGATGGATATTCCAAGAGAAGGCTATCTTGTCCTGGTTTAGTTAGATCATCTACATCTCCTGTCATTTCTGCTTGGCACTGTTTGATTTTATCAAAGAGTGGACACAACTAAAGTTGAAAATTCAAGTTTTTTTTTGTTTCAACAATTGCAGTTTTTTTCTCTTGTCTCCATATGCGCTGTTGTGCCTTTTATGTTCATCAGTTGTAAAAGTGTATTTTGCTGCATCGATAAAATTTACCAAAGAAAACAAAAATACATTATTTACTATTCTATGCTATGCTGAATACGGGATGCTACACTAGCAAGCTGCCATCTTGGACTACGACGTCAAAAGGACCAATGTGGTTGTACACATGCCGGAAGTATATGAACATACCTGGGTAATCTAGCGCCTTACGTGGGGGAAATTTGATGTTTGTTTGGCTGTGACGACTTTTCACGTGCGTGCGTGAAGTGTATAATTATTCGAAGTCATCAAAAAATTACAATTGCATATAATGTTCACGTGTCATTAAACAGAACATTCAAATAACTGTAATTTATATTAATTAAAAAAAGCAAGCAACGAGTTGCTCAACTTTTCCGGCAACATTTAAAATTTTGGTGGATCCATCTATTATAATACTTTATTAAAATGTTTTTTTTTTTATAGTTTTGACTATTATAAAATAATCAAAACTATAAAATTGGAAAAACGCTTAATTTTGAAGGTTGAAATAAATTTTATAAAAAATTGTAATTGTTAATAAATAGTAAAATAGTCATTAAAATCGACCCTACCGGAGATTCACACGACTCCAATCATCTATCTCATCACCCCTTCGACATTTAACCACTAAAATTGGATGGGATCATTCACTCAATCTAACAGTCAAACCTTTCTGCAAAATTTCAGAAATTTTCCACCCAAAACTTAACAATTAAGTGTCAAAAAGGGGGAACAAAATCGTGTCTCACAGACACACACACACATTAACATCCACACATACAGAAAATACTCTCAACTTTTTGTATTCCTCGACGTTTCAAGATATCATAAGTCCAAAAAATGTAATTATTTGGGAGTGGGAACGTTTTTTGCAGGATCTCCAACCTTTCCCTCTGTCATATAAAAACCGGGGAAGTAAAAATAGGCTACAATAATGTAACTTTTATTTCGGTTTTCATTTTAATTAATGTTTATTATTTTTACTTTTCGCTCGGGCAATGCCAAGTAAATTAAATAAAGTTGAATTATATTTAATTAATTAAAACACATTAATTATTTCAGGCAAACAAGTTATTAACATTTCTCCATTGAAGACAATAAAATGAATATCGACTGTATTAGACCAAACCTTTGCTTTGTTTACAAGAGATTAGGAAATGTAATTGGACGGCATCCATATTATTTTATAAGTATACCTTTACTTTTCTCCGCATTCCTCTCTCCATTCCTTATGAGAATATCGACTAAAGAAGATTATTTTAACGTCATAGTTGCAGATAGTGGAAAGATTTTTGATACTAAGTTATTCGTAGAAAGTACTTTTTCCTATAATTCACAAGAATTCTCTGATCAGATTAGAGCACCTGATATTAACTTTGGATTTTTAACATATATAATGAGAAAAGATGAAGGAAATATGTTCGATAAAAATGTTCTTTCTGATGTAAGATTAATCGATGAAGTCATACAAAACGTAACAGTTGACAGTAATGGAAAGCAAATTCATTATCTTGATATTTGCTCCTTGAACAACAATAAATGTTTCCAAAACCCGATCATTGAGGTGATGTCAGAAGTGGGTGTGAACTCTTTACTTCAGAAAAGAAAGAAGTTGAAATATCCAATTGACATAGATCTATTGTCTTTTACCTATAAAATTTACTTTGTAAATTTGGGTGGAGTAACTTTGGATAATGATAATTTCGTGGAAAATTTTAATGCCGTGATGTTATATTATTCAACAGACGAAAAAAATGAAAAACACAAAGAATTGTTTGATAAATGGTCGTTCGCAGTTTACGATAGGATTCAAAAATGCAATTTTACCTACGTAAAGGTTTTTCCAAACTCGAAGTTTTTTGTTAAGAAAGAGTTTGGGAATCAAGTAAATAGAACAAAGCCTAAAATAGGAGGGTTAGTAGTGTTTATGATTATATTTTCAATATTGTTCTGCATGAGCAATAGTTGGGTGAGAAGTAAACCCGTTCTTGGTGTAGCCAGTGTCATATCGGCTGGATTAGCGGTTGTCTCTTCTTTCGGATTAATGTCGGCGTTAGGTATAGAAAACATTTCGTGGAATGCCACAATTCCATATCTAGTGCTTGGTAAGTTGTTTCCTAAATTTACTTCGATTTCTTTCGTANAAAACACTGTATCGTGGTTAAAGTTTTATAAGGAGTTTCAGAACAATCCTGTCGCGAAATTCTCGTTAGATGGTTACAACATGTCGGTATAGAAAACATTTCGTGGAATGCCACAATTCCATATCTAGTGCTTGGTAAGTTGTTTCCTAAATTTACTTCGATTTCTTTCGTAACAATGCTAGCAAACTGATTGATTATTTATTTATATTATAGTAACTGAGATAGATGATGCATTCGTACTGATAGGATGCTGGAGAATCACAAATCCCAAGCAGAATGTCGAGAAACGCATGGAAGCGACATATTGTGAAGCGGGGATTTCCATCACGTTGACGTCACTCACCAACTTCATTTCTTATTGCATCGGAATGATGAGTCCATTTCCAGTTGTTAGAATATTCTGTTATTATACAGCAACTTGCATCGTATTCACTTTTCTGTATCAGATGACGTTTTTCGGGGGTTGCCTGGCGTTAAGTGGATACAGAGAAGAACGTTATACTCGTTCTGTGGTATGTTTTACAGGAGGTGAGTCAGAATTCATATTCGCTAATAAATAATATTCATATTTCAAAGAATGTATTTGATAAATATATTATACTAGCTGCAAGGACCCGCTTCGCTGGGTTTTTAAAAAGTAACGATAGTGAAGATTAAGATAATTACATTATAGCCAATCTTACCCGTTTTCACAGAATGCAAGAATTAGGTCCCCCGTTTCCAGACTAATTAGAGACCTGGTCCCGATTCTATTTCTGAACGTATCCTGTTCACGTCAAGTCAAACGAACTATTTTCAACGTTTCTGGAACGTTTACAATCGTTCTATAATCGAACTAATATTCGAATTTTATGTTCGAATTAAATTCGAACAAAACATTCGAAATAGAAAGCCACTTTCAACCACTTTCAGCCTCATATCTCCCGCACCCTTATAGCTATCGAGACGCAACCACCACCCCTATGCACGAATGGAGACTTGGGGCTACCACCACATACAAACACCATTCACGTGCGATGTGTAGTTTTTGCGGAAAAGTGAAATATAGGGACACACATGTCCATTTATATATATAGCAAATATTTCAGGTTAGTTTTTATAAAGTTTCTTAGGTTATCAATATTATGTATTAATTAAAGGAAGACGCCCCTCTCATTCTTTCAATGCAGAAATTTATGATTTCCAATCAGTGATACTTAAATATGATCAGACAGTCTACTTTGCAACATGTACCAGCTCTTCGAAAACTCTCCTGCGTACTTTGGGAGGATTTTGACATTTACTATACAAAATAACGCCAAATTAATATACATAGTCCTACGCTGAATGCATTTATTCTTGGTTGCAGCTCTCAGAGAAAACATTTGATGAAAAAATTCTTGAGTATCATAAATAATAAGACGTTTTCAAAATATTCTGAAAAAGAACAGAAGAGAGTCAACGAATTTCACAAATTAAACAAAACTTCTCTATAAATTTAATACACAATCGTAAAATCCGAGTGTCGATTCGCGAAATGTTTGTGAAACAAATTTCAAATATATCCTGAATTTTTATGCGTTTTTCATTCGTAACATCTTGCTGATAATATTGCAACGGAGTGTAATAGTATTAGTAAATAATCACTTTATGAATATTGTGCTCAATACCATCTATTGTTGAACTTTTCAGTGGAATCTTTAAAACTTTTCAGCGCCATTCTAGAATTGCTGACATATTTAGACATTCTGAAATTTCAACTGTTTTATCCCGATGCATCAATTCTTCCACAGCTCTTGAATCGTTGCCCGTTCTGATGAAACAATAGTTTCTGCTATCCATCATTACACTCGCATCACTCTACTTCAACAATGATGGGAAATATTACTACGTACCGGACAGAATTTACCATCAAATTTTTCGTCTTTAATTTTAACTATACCATATTACTGTTACCGTGTTTCCCCGAAAATAAGACAGTGTCTTAGATTAATTAATTTTTGCTCTGAAACATGCGCTAGGTCTTATTTTCAGGTAATGTCTTATTTTTCCATGAAGAAGAATTCACATTTATTTTTGAACAAAAAATTCCCAAGTCCAACTTAGACGACAGTGACGTATATTTGGTCGTGTCGAACTGAACTTAAATAAAACCGAAGTCACGAACCGACGTCGACAAAGTTTATTGAACGCCTCAACAGGTAAAACCGATCTGGCATACGGTACGACTACTCCTATACAGCACCCCTATTGGATGGGAGACAAGTCCCCCAGCCCAAGCAAGCAGCGATCATTCACAAAAATAGCCCTCATCGCCCGATCGACCGGGCTAGGCCATTGATTGCCTTACAATCAGGCTTCAGCAGTGAACTCACGAAGTTCCCATGCTGGAGTGGACTTCCCACTCGCGCTTCAACTTAACCATTTTATAGAATCGACATCGGGCTCAATGACCAATTAGTGCTTACTGAACCGTAGCACTATGCAAACGTGATGTGGCGTGATTCCCAGCCGATCAATTAGCGATCACCAGCCGTAACGTTATGCAAATCTGTGAATTTCAAGCCATAGTCTTATGCAAATCATGCCGTTTGGCGTGATTGTCTGCAGACCAATCAGTGGCTGTACTTTCAAAAAGCCAACGGCCACTTTGAATCATCTGTCGATGACCGTTACCAGTAAAAAAAAACTTTGCTAGGTCTTATTTTCAGAGGATGTTTTATTTTCAGGGAAACACGGTAGTAAGCGGCATTTCTGCTTTATCACTCGTTCCATCCCTATTATTTCAGTCAGTAAAATTAAAAACTCTAGTTTATATTGTTGCATTTCTATCGATATATAAAGAAATATCCTGCAGATTTATCTACATGGACAATTATATTGAAAATATTAGGTTTAATATAGAGTTCTCTCCTGACCTAGAATTTAATCAGGGTGCTAATTTTAAAACCGTTTTCGTTACTAAAGAGATTGTGTTGATTTTTACTTGCTTTCATTTTTGATCTTACAATATAATTGGCTTAATCATAAAACATTTTTAGTTGTTGAACAGTTTTCTTTTAAGTATTTATTCATCTGATTTGTTTTCATTACAGAAGAATTCGAAGAAAACAGAACGAAAAATAACGAATTCGAAGATGAAGCAGCGATGGCATTTTTTAGAGATGTACTAGGAAAGCTATTGTCAAATCCAATAGTAAAAATAATTGTTGGGTTAATCTATGTTATTAATTTATCTATCGGAATTTTGGGTGCTCATTCCATTACACATGGCATTAAGTTTGAAAATTTATTTTCCAAAGGATCTGTACTTCAAGAAAGCTCTCGTATTAGATTCACATATTTCACCGAGTACTCTTATCCTTTTCACATAATTATTAACAAAACCTTGGATTACTCAGATATAAAAGTTCAAGAATCCATAGAAAATCTCTTAAAAAAATTCGAGCAACATCCCCATGTGGCAGAAGAGCAAAACACTGTATCGTGGTTAAAGTTTTATAAGGAGTTTCAGAACAATCCTGTCGCGAAATTCTCGTTAGATGGTTACAACATGTCGAACAAACATGATTTCATCGATGGTCTTCGTAATGTCTTCTTCAAACTGCACGCAGCCAAGTCACTGTCAAATGATGTCGTCTTTAATAGCGATGGAACCGACATCTTATATAGTAGATTCTTCGTTATGGGAAAAAATTTGAATTCTTCACAAATAGAGAGAGATACGTTGAAAGAATTATGGGAAATTGCCGAAAAATCTGAAATTCCTGTTTTGGTGCACTGTATTAAATCGAGTATAATTAACCAAGGTATAATCATAGAATATACAATTTACCAATTGTTTTGGATTACGGCTGCTTTACTAACTATAATTTACTTCCTAATGGTACCAAACTTGTTAGTTGCCCTTATTGTGTCCATTTGTGTTGTTTCTTCAATATTAGAAACATTGGGTTACATGTCATTGTGGGGCGTAAATGTGGATATATTCTCTATGATGAATCTAATTTTGTGTGTTGGATTCAGTGTGAATTACCCTTGTCACATGTCTTATGCTTATATAACGTCCTCCGAGAAGAGAGCGAACGAGAAAATGAGAGATTCTTTGTATCGTATTGGGTTTTCTGTAATACAAGGCTCTCTGTCCACGGGTCTAGGAATATTGATTTTGTATTCTGATGTATATTTTCTGTCGACATTTGTGAAAATTGTAGTACTTATTGCTGTAGAAACGGCATTTCATGCATTGATTTTTATACCTGTGGTACTGACTACAATTTTTTCCATGTTCCGGAAAAGACAAAGTATTTAAACTTTTTCAATCAACAACGTAACTTCTATTATACTTTTAGGTTTAGCAAAATACTTATTAACCGAATTAACCCAACCTTTATCTTTAACCAGGATGTTGCGGCATAGTAGTTTGAGGTTTAGGTTAGTTTTATTTGGTTATGACAAAGCGACACATAGACGATCTGCCGGTGATGGAATTGCCTCCTGAGAAGTCTTTTAACGGAAACTGACCCGCATTTAGGAGTTAGTAACACGAAGAATACTTCCGAAAATCCCAAATGGCCAGATCGTTGACCAACTACCGGTGTTTTGTGCTATTATCCATTCTGACACAAGTGGGAACGATGCAGTAGTTTCAAGCAATGACAGTTGGAAGTTTTGCAAAATACAGAGTTTAGCAAAAGTGTTATACTTCTCGTATGTATTATATTTTTATGCTAATTATATATTAGGGGAGATCGGGGCAACTTCGGCAAGCGGGGCAAGTTTGTCAAGCGCTTTTTTTAAAAAACAAATTAAAAGGAGACTTTGGTTATAGGTTAGGCCAGGGGTGGCCAACACGCGGCGCATGCGCCAAACTTGGCGCATTGGACGATTACAAATGGCGCTTCAGTCGTTTTCGAGCAACATTGCCAGATTCGGCTTCATTGCAATCGACCTCTCGACCTTTTTTTTTTTTGCTTGTACGTTACACGATGCATTCGTGTACACGTACACCACTGATGTCATATAGAACTACTTTATACGGGTAGTGTAGCTACCCGTGTAAGATAGTTCTCTTATGAATTATAGATTATAAATAGTTTCTTCTTATAAATTGAAATACCTAGTTAACGGGTGGCCGAAAATTTTCTCCGCCCCGGGCTGCTAACACTCACGGTACGCCTCTGCGTATCTGAACTCGTCTATCACAAAAATTGGCGCATGGTATGCAAAAGGTTGGCCACCCCTGGT